GCAGGCCCCGCGCCGGTGCAGGCCCCGCGCCGGTGCAGGCCCCGCGCCGGTGCAGGCCCCGCGCCGGTGCAGGCCCCGCGCCGGTGCAGGCCCCGCGCCGGTGCAGGCCCCGCGCCGGTGCAGGCCCCGCGCCGGTGCAGGCCCCGCGCCGGTGCAGGCCCCGCGCCGGTGCAGGCCCCGCGCCGGTGCAGGCCCCGCGCCGGTGCAGGCCCCGCGCCGGTGCAGGCCCCGCGCCGGTGCAGGCCCCGCGCCGGTGCAGGCCCCGCGCCGGTGCAGGCCCCGCGCCGGTGCAGGCCCCGCGCCGGTGCAGGCCCCGCGCCGGTGCAGGCCCCGCGCCGGTGCAGGCCCCGCGCCGGTGCAGGCCCCGCGCCGGTGCAGGCCCCGCGCCGGTGCAGGCCCCGCGCCGGTGCAGGCCCCGCGCCGGTGCAGGCCCCGCGCCGGTGCAGGCCCCGCGCCGGTGCAGGCCCCGCGCCGGTGCAGGCCCCGCGCCGGTGCAGGCCCCGCGCCGGTGCAGGCCCCGCGCCGGTGCAGGCCCCGCGCCGGTGCAGGCCCCGCGCCGGTGCAGGCCCCGCGCCGGTGCAGGCCCCGCGCCGGTGCAGGCCCCGCGCCGGTGCAGGCCCCGCGCCGGTGCAGGCCCCGCGCCGGTGCAGGCCCCGCGCCGGTGCAGGCCCCGCGCCGGTGCAGGCCCCGCGCCGGTGCAGGCCCCGCGCCGGTGCAGGCCCCGCGCCGGTGCAGGCCCCGCGCCGGTGCAGGCCCCGCGCCGGTGCAGGCCCCGCGCCGGTGCAGGCCCCGCGCCGGTGCAGGCCCCGCGCCGGTGCAGGCCCCGCGCCGGTGCAGGCCCCGCGCCGGTGCAGGCCCCGCGCCGGTGCAGGCCCCGCGCCGGTGCAGGCCCCGCGCCGGTGCAGGCCCCGCGCCGGTGCAGGCCCCGCGCCGGTGCAGGCCCCGCGCCGGTGCAGGCCCCGCGCCGGTGCAGGCCCCGCGCCGGTGCAGGCCCCGCGCCGGTGCAGGCCCCGCGCCGGTGCAGGCCCCGCGCCGGTGCAGGCCCCGCGCCGGTGCAGGCCCATCCAGGGGAGACGCTGGGTTTTAATTTAAACTACGCTCGCGAGTGAAAGCAACGCATTGCCTCTCTCTTAGCTCTTCAGCCTAACTAAATGCAAAAGGCATTCGCAGCAGCTGTTCACAGAGGCGGTTTTAAGCCAGGGTGTCGGCCTTATGTCAGTGCGATTTATGGAAGGAAAGGGTTTTAGTGAGACTGCAGTCTCAGCCAGCGGATTATACGTGAAAACCTTTTTTCTTTCCAAACTGGTTTTACCTCCCTGTTCAACACAAGTGCTGTGCTTGCTCCCAGGTTGTGTTGGGTGGGTGCCATGGCAGCTGAGAGTGGCAGTGGCAGTGTCTGGATTTTGGGGTCATTACAACCAAAACTTGCATCAACATGCAGCCACTGACAGCAGCTGCTTTCCCTCCCCACACTTTTGGCAGCAGTGGGATGGTCCATATGCCCAATTCCCAATTCCCAAATCAAACAAAAATAAAGAGCAGCCGGCCAGGGTGAGGGGCTCTGTGGGATGATGGGAGGCCAGGACACTTGGCCTCCAGGTACACTTGGCATTCAAGGAGACCAGCTCCACTTGAAGCTCTTCTCTAAGCACAGAAAGCGTGCACAGCTTTATGTTCCCTTGGCCAGCTTACTACCTGAAAAGTGGATTCATGCCGGTGTGCAATAACCTGCTCGGGAGAGAGATTGTATTTATTCAGGCCTGGGTGCTCAGTGGACTCTTCCAGAAATGAAGCACACCAACAGCAAGTTTTCACGCTCTTTTTATACACAAAAATCAGAAGTTAGTACTTTTCCATAACATGCCTATTAGATACTAATTGGTTTGTGATTATCATATAATAGGGCTTACCTCATGCTTCTAAAACTATGCATGCACAGGGGAAGGGTCTTAACCTGGACAGGGGTCTTTTTGACTGGTGAGTGTGGGTTTTAGCATTATAATGAAGGCAGTTGAGTTTAGGGACACTTAAGAGTTGGTTTCATTGCAAGTTAAGTAAGCGAATAGTTGCTTGGCCAAGTTCTCAAGTAATTCATCCTAAAAACAATCCCAGACATTGTCTTTATGGTCCAGGACATTCTATCTATTTTCTGGGGTTTGGAGATGGAAGCTTGTTCTTCCTTGACCTAGCAATTGTTCCCATATGGTAACTATAGCTACTACCATAATCATTAACCATGACGACTAGCAAATGTGAAGTGCACTATATCAAGCTCAGGGGATCTGGGCCCCGCTTCAGCATAAAATAAATGTATTAAATAAAAAGCGCAGACTCAAGCTGAAGGCGTGGGAGGGGAGCATGGTTTGTGAGAGGTTTCCCATCTGGGGGAGCCCTTGAAACACCACCCTTTTTTCCCAGGGAAATGTTTCTGTCCTGCTACTTTTCACAGGCAAGTGCACTAGAGACAGCGAGCAGGCAAACTGGAGCATCAAAGAGCTGGGCTGTAGGAAAAGGGAGCTGAAGCATTTTGTGAGAGGTGCCTACTTGGGGGAGCACCATCAGATGACAAAGGACCAGCTAGAGCCAGGCCAGCTGGAATTCCCTCTGCTGCCTATTCCTGCTTCCAGATACCACACGCAGGATTTTCAGGCAGTTAAACTGATCTTTAGTTCCTCAGAGAAAGTCTACAATTCCATCCACACTGCACAATGATGAAGTGGTATCTGTGTCATGGTCACAATGTGGAGTACTGAACTGGAGTGGAGGGAGGAAAATGGGATGTCCTTTGTGACTGTGGGCACCAGAGTTTTACTGGGAAAAAAAGAGGTGACCCCACGTGAACAGGGGGGTTGGAGCAGATGACCTCCCGAGGTCCCTTCCAACCTCAGCCAGTCTGTGCTGGTGTGATTTCATGTCCCTGTTTCCATCATCTGGTGACATCTCAGAGGGTCTCCCTGCCCTACAGTCTTCTCAGGGAGCGAGGACTGGGGGGCGTTTTAGGGAGCAGCCCCTTCTCACTGCAGGACCAGAGCTGGCTGGGTCAGCAGGCGTTGTGGTAACACGGGCCCTCCCTTCACTTCCCTGCGAGGCCTTGGCGAGCTCTCAGGTCCAAGAGTCTCTCCTGTACCTCAGAGATGCAGAGGACAAAGGGAGGCAGCGGCATTCTGCTGGAACCGTTTGGTGAAGCACAGGTGAGGACATTGGAGAGGGGATGTTTCCCAGGAAGAGACATCAAAATCCTTCCCCTGTCAGCCTCATGTGCTGACCAAAGCAAGAACATGCCAAACCTGGAAGAGCTGATCAACAACACGGAGCTCTGCGTCAAGGCTGATGGCTACAGCACGGTCACGTTTCCCAGCCCCAAGAAGCTTTCTGTCAGCGGTAAGGCCTTTGGCAGCCATCTTGTCACTGCAGATGAAATGAAGGACACAGAATCACAGGATCATTCAGGTTGGAAAAGCCCCTCGGGATCAGCGAGTCCAACCCTCAGCCCGACTCTATAGAGCTCTTCCCTACCCCACATCCCCCACAGCTCATCCCAACGGCCCTGAAACCCCCCAGGGATGGGGACTCCCCCCTCCCTGGGCAGCCTGTTCCACTCTCTGACCACTCTTGCTGGGAAACATTTTCTCCTCCTGCCCAGCCTGACCCTCCCCTGGGGCAGTTTCCAGCCGTTCCCTCTTGTCCTGTCCCTGATCCCCTGGGAGCAGAGCCCAGCCCCAGCCTCTCTGCAATGTCCTGTCAGGAGCTGCAGAGAGGGATGAGGGCTCCCCTCAGCCTCCTCCTCCTCACACTCAACACTCCCAGCTCCTTCCCTGGCTCCTCACAGGATTTATTCTCCAGCCCTTCCCCAGCTTCGTTGCCCTCCTCTGCTCTCGCTCCAGCCCCTCGAGATCTCTCTCGCATTGAGGTGCCCAAACCTGGACACAACCCTCCAGGTGTGGCCTCACCAGTGCCGAGCACAGGGGGACTGTCACCTCCCTGCTCCTGCTGGTCACACTAGTGCTGATACACGCCAGGATGCCGTTGGCTTTCTTGGCCACCCGGGCACACTGCTGGCTCCTGTTCAGCTGCTTTTCCATGAGAACCCCCAGACCCTTCTCTCCCAGACAGCTCCAGCCACTCCTCCCCGAGCCTGTAGCCATGCAGGGGGTGGTTGTGGCCCAAGGGCAGGACCTGGCACTTGCCCTAGTTGAAGCCCATCCCACTGACGTTGCCCACTGATCCAATCTAGCCAAGTCTCTCTGCAGACCCTCCCTGTCCTCATGCAGACCGACACTCCCGCTTCTCTTGGTGTCATCTGTGAACTCACTGATGACCCACTCTGTGTCCTCATGGAGATCATCAATAAAGATGTTGAAGACACAAATCCCTGTGGGAAGTGAGGTTCTTCCCAGCAGGGGAGGCCCCTGGGGACACCCTGAGCCCCGCAGATTCTGGTGCACGCAGTACCCTCCCCTTGCCATGGTGAAGTCCCACGGATGGGTTTCCCCCGGCAGTGGGTCACACTCAGGGATCTGGCTCTGAAGGGAAAGACGTCCTGTGGGGCGGAGGCTGAGGCCAGTCAAAGATTCAGCCTGTGTCTCAGGTCGGTTTATGCCGTGAGGCTTGTTGAAGCACACTTGCCCCCCTCTGTACACGTGTGCTGACGGGACATGAGCTGTCTGAAATAGAGCTTGACGTGTCTTCCCCTCGCTTTCCACATGTCATTACTATTTGGATCTGTGTGTCTAAGCATGTTCAGCAACAGCTCCTGCAGAGAAAGATGGGGTCCTACCCGACCCCTTCCCTCGCTCAGATGGCTACAGGGGTCCCAGCAGCCCTGTGCAAGCAAGTGCCGTTGTTCTTTCCTGAACTGCATTGCAATTTGCAGATTGCCACAAATGTGCCAAAGACCAG